TTAGACCTAGCAAGCCACAGTCTGTCCCAGTTAATTTGTTTCATCACATGAAGCAATGTGATGGAATGTTAATGTCAGCACCCTCTTTATTTACACACTGTGGAAAAAAGGAGTAGTAATTAACACTTTGACACTCCCCCGTTGATGTGTAATTGACTGTTTCAAAGGAGCACTGGTTCATAAGCTATTGCATGCATTAAAATTACGTTTTTTATATTCCAGCTTTTTAGGACAGGGGTCAGTGACAATGCAGAAATTGCTCAATGATGCAGATTTTTTTATTACTGCATTAAGGTTTTGACATATTGGTAATGAATAAATGTTTCCATAAAAATCAGATTTTTTTTTTTATAACTTTGATTTTGAAATGACACTTGAACACTGGCTGAATGCATTTGAGGAAAGGCATAGTTTTGCTAAAACAGAGTTTAGTGCAGCCTTTTAAACACATGCATTATCTTGTTAATGGAGTGTGGTATAATTCTGAGAATGATTACCCTCAGAGCTTTAAAATGCTGATACTTCGGGTATTAAAATGATGGAAATATCAATGTGATTTTTCGTGGATAAAACTAGCAGCAAGTTTTTGGTAGTTTGTAAATGTGTCTATAGGATAAGCATGCCTTTTGTCATATGTATTTGAACATTAGTTGTGTAAGCATCTTACGCTTTTCTTTCTTAGGGGAAAGTGGTTTTTGTATTATAAGTATTTTTATGTATTGAAATGGCTTATCTGTTAGTTATTTTTCCACAGAAGTATTTGCTGAAAATGCAGTTATGCTAACATTTGAATAAATTTATGGAAAATTAAATACACATATATGTAGTATTAATCATATAATATACAATAGTCAGGATTTCTTTTGTTTTGCCTGTGTTTACCTCTGTGAATATACTGTGTGTGCATTTTCAATATATCTGGGATTCACATAATCTTAGTAAAATCCTTAAATAGCTGTGTAACTGTTTTGAAAGACAGCCTTACTTCCAGTTATCTTGATTTCTCACCTGCTTTATGGTATACTCGGAAAATTCTGAATGTCTTTGAGCAGTGGACAAGGTAGAGATTCTGAGGCAGTGCAGGCCAGAATGCTCGGAACTTGGTCGGAGTGTTTCAGCCATGCCTTTGAAAAACAAGGGTAGTTTTGTATAGAAAACAATATGATTATTAGATGAGGCATTCAAAAATTCTTCAGAACACCTATGATCTGTTCCCAAAAATAAATTTTTAACTATGCCTTAAAGATTTTTTTTTTTTTCGATTAAATAACTTGCCAAGATATTGGGCTTTAAAATAAAGGATATTAATAACAGGATGTCAGTGACAGTACAGCATCAGCTTTAGTTCTAACCTCTCCCGGATGAGGACCAAGTAAAACCAGTCTGTGAAAGCTGTGCAGTGAAGGCTCCTACAGGTGGCATCAGTTTGTTACAATTTGTTGTTTTATTAATGCTGACAACTTAGGCCAGTGGTAGCATTATCTGTGTCAACTGAATCGCCCTAACATGTCCACATTTGATCTGGTATTATCAGCAGTCTTTTTCGGAAAGTTAATCAGTATCTCATTTGCATTTGTTAATTAGGGTTAATGTGTGCTAATTGATTTTTTGATGCTTGTAGAGTTCCATTAAACCCAGTTAGGTATAGTTGCTGGTGCTCCTCATTCGTATGAATTATGGTGATCGCGTTTTTGTTGAATCAGTGCCAAATAGGGAACCTGCATCATAATTATAGCTAATTAACACAACATGATGTCCTGCACTAATGTGCTTTCCTATTAGTGTACGGATGTTATAAATTCCAAACTTAAATATTTACTGAAGCAATGCCAATGTTTATAATGTCATTCCAAAACAAAATGATTGACATTCATTTTAAAGAAACTTCCCCCGAATCTTAGCTGGTCCCTCACAGAACTCGGATTAAGAAATGCCTTGGTTCATCTGAATGTCTTAACTTCGTTGACCTAGACTTTTTTTGCAGGAAAACGGTCTCTGGTTTAGATGTGCAAGCTCTTGGCTCAATTCCTTGCGTTGCCATTCATACAATCATGTAAAAAGAGCTAACCTAACCTTTAATATCTGTTCCTCTATTCTTGAAGAGCACTTTTTTGCCACGCTAGATGCTGTAAGCATACATGTGACTCATGATGCTTTTTTGCTGTGGTATAAACAGTTAATTCTGTGCCAAAACACGTTATTCTGGCACAAAAATGTAATGTTGCTCAACCATTACTGAGAGAGGTTTATTTTCAAGCAAGTACATGAGAATGGGTGGTGAGGCTGTAAGGTTTTGACATTACCAGTCACGTATTTTCCATTTATTGTTGCATTGCTATTCTTCCAGATGATGCAACTGAAAAATACACTTGCACCCTCACCACCTAAAATTCTGTTAAGGGGATGTTTTTCCTGTTTCAAAAAATCTCTGAGCTTCATTTTTGTAGATAGTTATTACCTTTTACTGACAATGACTGAGTCTTGATGAATTCACAACTAAACTAGCGATTTTAGCAAAACACAAGGAAGATGCAGGAATTAGTGTTTTATCTCAAAAAATGTTGATAAGGACAGGTGGAATATGTTCTTGACGTGAAATAAGTTTTGAATTATTGGAAGCATATATAGTAAAAGTAACACGAAAAACAAATTAAAGAATTACTGAATTATGATTTATATCCATAAACTGTCAACACTTTTACACAGGGTTGTTGCATGAACACAATATGGCAAAAATGAGGCTACTTACTTTCATGGGAATGGCTGTAGAGAATAAAGAAATATCCTTTGACACAATGCAACAGGAACTTCAGATTGGAGCTGATGATGTAGAAGCATTTGTTATTGATGGTAAGAACTGCAGTACCGTACTTTACACAATGCTAACAAACAATACCTTCTATAGTCTTCCAAGCTAATGTTAAATATTCAGAAAAATATTCATTTTTAATTTCTGTCTTTGTTACAAGATACAGCTGCAAAACTTCATGCTTAAAGACATCCTTAACTGTTGTATTTTAAACAACGTTTTTCTTTTCAGTGACGGCAACTGTATTTCGTGTAATTCTTTATAGAACTAATAAATTGTTTGCAGGCTTAATTGGTCATCTGGTTTTGTTTGCTGTCATTAGAACAGGATGTGTTTGTAGGCGACAGAAGTCCATAAAAACTGTACGGGATATTTCTTTAATAGATTGGCACCAAACAACAGGATTCATGCATGACCTTCATCTTCTTGCGTCATTTTGCTTTTCTGCCTACTAGACTGTTAAAACCAACATCAAAACAATATTAAGTGAACTGCTGTGTTTTTATGTTTGTATTGATCTAATTCTGAACGGTTTTTATGCAGTTTAATGCCTTTTGCACTAGCTTGAAACTATTGCTCAAAACAGCATTGCTTCTTTGCAGCTGTAAAGACAAAGATGGTATACTGCAAAATAGATCAGACACAGAGGAAAGTAGTTGTCAGGTAAGACTTAATTCTTCATAGCATTTTGCAGAACTTAGTGTGTTCTAATTATTTCACTTACATTCGTAGAATATTTTAACTAGAAGCAAGGTACTGTTCCTATCAGTTGCTGGTAGTTAAATAGTTGCTATTTATCATAATTTTATTAAAGCTCACACTGAATGTGATTAGCTTATTTAATGAAAGAGTCCTATTTTCCAGCACATTTCATTTAATGACCTAATAGTGACAAGAATACTAATGACTGTTGCTTTAAATATTTGGGACGGCTACAGAATTCTCTAACTGGTAAAGTGCAGCCCTTAATATAGAGAAAATAAAAATTTTCCTATTCACTTGTGAGAGTAAAGTAATGCTATAAAAGAATTATTAGGTGAGCATGACATCTAGTAATCATCTTCCAATTTTGTTTTACTTCTCTAGTCACAGCACACATCGGACTTTTGGAAAGCAGCAGTGGCAGCAATTGTATGACACTCTAAACACCTGGAAACAAAATTTGAATCAAGTGAAAAACAGTCTCCTCAGTCTCTCAGACACCTAAAAATTTTTTTTTTCACCTAGTAATGTCACTATAGATGAAATTTATTCAAAACTTTGACAATTTGTGAATGTTTCCAAAATGTATGCAATTGGTTTAAAGAAGCTAAATATTCTAAATTGCAACACAAAAAAAAAAAAGCAATAAAACTAACATGGGAAAATATCTTCTGTTGATTTTCTTATATAATTAGCAACAACAAACAGTAGCAATATTGGTTATGTTTCTTTTGCTCTTGTTTAAGTTTACAACGTGAGGATCTTTCTTTGCAAGAGGTGTGGGGAGGAAGGGAGGGAGATCAGAAAAATGATAGTGCAAGTAATTGTAAAGTAAGAGAAAATTTCCCTTATACCCTAAGGGAAGAAAAATGTGAGCCAGTTACAAGTGGAGCTTTATGAAGCAAGATCTGCTGCCTTATCTCAGTAAATCATACCTGATGCTTTAGTGTTGAAAGAGACTTTATTGATATAGAGTCAATTACAACAGATATATTTAAATAATTTGGCAGTAAAGGTAAGCAGAAGATTTCCCTGTTCTTCTGCCACTTAGAACTGCTGTAAGTTGTTGTAAATGTTTGTAGAAAGCATTGTATTTTGAAACAGTTGCAGCTGATTTTGCTTGAAAACTGAGTGAGCAGTCTGACACAGAAACCAAATAGAGGTATTTCAGCCAAAACTTCTGAGGAGCAGAAGGGTACTCTTAAGGAATCGTTTAATTTTACATAACGGGCATTAAAACATTAACTTGTGAACTTTTTAACTTCAGGCAAAACACATAGTAACTTGGATTTGATTGCAGAAACGGAGAACTAACAATATTAGTAGGGATTGTATCCATTTTTTTGAACATAAAAATGGTCTGTATGCTTAAGCATGGAAGCACAGTGCATATATACCATATTCTATAGGAATACCTCTACAAATCTGGTTTAAGTAAGTGATTGATCTGTGCCTAAAAGACGTGCTTTTTATCTCCTGCCACTGATCTTCACTGGCCTTCTTCATATTTTCTTTTTCTTGCTGAATGAAGTCTCTCCAAGTTCAGGAATCTCTCAATTTCTTCTATTTGGTTTTGTATAATGGAGTTATGAACAGAACGGCTGTCCTCATCTCTGGGTGCACTTTCACTTCTTCCTGGAGTTACAGTCATGGGAGAGGACTTCTGCTCGTGCTGTAAAGCAGTAAATCCTTCTTTCACCTGACAGAATACAAATTTGGCAGTGAATAATTCAGTGAAATTCAGGTAGAAAGGTTGAAATTGTGGGATTTTGCTGAGCATTAAGCAAACAAGGAAATGTGAACAGAAAGATAAATCAATTGGAAAAAATGTTTAATTTGAAGTGCTTGCTTCAGCTTTAATTTAGAAAACTTGGTAATGACAAATATCCTTTTATAAACCAAACCTTAACGTAAGATTTAGTACAGAAGAGTGTGATTGAGAAAAAAAAAGACAACCTTGTACTAGAATGGAGATTAGCAAAATAAATAGTTTAATTAAACAGTTTAATGTTGCAATTGACATTTCTATTGCTGTGCAAGCATTTGATTAAGAAAACCCAAAATCATGAGGTTTATAGTGTTAACTCCCTCTCTGCTTCACTGTATAGATCAGAAAGCAAACATCATTAACTCATGCAAGGTCTGTAATAGGTTGTTTTTTTATGTTAAAGATATTTTTGTTTGAATAGTTTTAATTACTATTTGATAGCTATTTCATAGCTATCCAAATCAAACACTTATGGCAACACAGTAGGGAAACAGATTTTTGCTTGAATGATGAGTTCTCCACTCGTAATCCAACACTGCCTGGCTCTCGGGGAGGCCAGCGTGCAGCACCAGCCGCCTGCCGGAGCACAGGTGCACAACAAAGCCATGTTACACGGAGCCAGTGTTGCAGTTGTTCTTGGGGGTCTGTAACGTAGCATCTAAGAATGTGGTTGCATGCTAGGGTAATTCGCTTACAGGGATTGCAAAATGAGGCCTTCCCCCTCTGCTCAATTATTTTTTTAATATTAGGCAACTGTGCCCCAACCAACTGTAAGCCACAAAGTCTTTATGAGGCCTGCCTTTATTTTAGCACAGGAATTTTGTGCTAAAGCTTTCTTTCCCCCGTGCACAAGCATTTCTTGAAGTTTGAAATATGAACAATAAACTTCATGCAAATTGTTCACTCAGCCTATTGCATGTGTAACAACATTACTGCCATGCAGCTGAACATGCGGATACTTAGGTCAATAAGGACTGTGATCTCTATTTCAATGAGGAAGTAACTTCTTCATTTGAGCAATAACATTTTCAACCTGTTATTTCTAGCGGCTGTATACATATACTCTCCCATGCTCCTTCCCAAGGCCTCAGAAAGAAAGAGATCATACTTCATTGCATGCCACTAGTCAGAATCTCTATGGAATAGCACATCGGGCTGCATCTGTCCTGTACTAATAATCCAAGAGAAAAACTCTCATATAGGTCTTCCACATGTGGAAGTGAAATTTTCCAGTGAAATAAAGCCATGCCATGTTACTTGGATTTTACTGAAGACAACAAGCATTTAGACCTCTTTGGAGAAGTAACTGCAGTTAGCTAATATATACATATAGCATTTTAATACAGTTCTGTGACAGCAGGTTTGGAATAAAGCTTTAAAAGAATAATCTCAGCTGTCAAACTAAAAAGCCTCAGCATTTTCACAATAAAATACAAGGAAAACGAGTCTTGCTGCCAGCACTGAGTAATATGGCCACCTATGGGACACACATGCGTAAAAAACATCCGTTGCTGAATAGTATGACTGCACATTTAGGGACTTGTGTTTAAACTGAGCTGAGGATGCTTATTCATCCTTACCTTGGTACTCAGGCATGTACAGACTAATGTTTAAAACAGTTCTTTTTTTTATTTTAATTGCAGCTGTAGCATTTCTTTTTAATGTTTATCACTTTTTAGAGTACTGTACTTTGGTTGAATTAAGATTACTCAAATTATGGAAGACATAAGTCTGCTCTAGTTATCACCATACATGTTAGTCAAAATAAATAAACTGAGCAGCAAAAAAGACTGCTGAGCCTATTTTTAATCTCCCAACAGCTTTTTCATATCAGTCATAAAAATGACAAATTTGAGGACAGAAGGCATTAGAATGATACCAAGACAGAAGGGAAGGAGTGGTCTCCAATATCCCAGGGTGAGATTTCATAGATCAAGTGTTTGGAAAATAAACAAGCAAGGCATTCTGTTCTTGTCCATCTCAGCTTTTGCTTAGCCAGCAACACATAAGGAGCTTTAATTTGGAGGTGACAAAGTAGATATAACCACAATCAGATAATGAAATACAGCTTTGTATTAGCTGTAGATCAGGTATTTTAGTTCACTCAATTCCTGGCTCCACCTCAGTGAGACAAAGCAAGAGACACACAGTAAATACCACCACTGTGTTTGGTGAAAAATCTACCTCACTGGTTCCCAAGTAGAGTCATGTTAGGAAAGTTGAGTAATTTAAAACATCAGTCTTTACTTTTGAATTTCAGAGAATGTGAATGCTAATGGCATTGAGAGCTGATTAAGTCCGCTGAAGTCAGCCAACTTGGTCACTTGAAAACACCATGCACCCTGACCTCAAACCTCATCCAAAGATGACAGCCGTAACTACCTGAGACATACCTCTAGAACCTCTTCTAAAAAGGAAGGTCAACCGCAGTTGTAAATTATTGTATCACTTTTGAATGTGTTTAGCATTAGGTCAAATCCTAATACAGCAGTTAAAGCTGTTCAAGCTCCACAGTCTAACATAGATCTAAAAATGCAGTATGAGCCATTGCTAGTGCCATCCTGAATGAAGTTGTCTTACAGGGAAACAACAGGTTTCTTTTTAATTCTCTGCTTTTACACGTTTGTGTAATGTCATCTTACTAAATAATAAGAGAACTCTAAATGTGGCATCGCATAACTGCAGCGTAGAATAAACAGATAGGCTCTAATTCATAGATATGCTGAATTTTGAGTCTTTCACAGATTCTTTTAAGTAACATTTTCCTATCAAGGAATAAAGGAAACTATGTTTTTCTACTTTTACATACTATTTTTTTTTCCCTTTCTTTTTTTTTAACTCCTACTTTTACTGTAGGTGATGATTTTTATTAGGGTACACAATGAACTACCCTCTTCCTCCCCTCCCAAACAGACTGGTTAGCATCTGTTTGATTCATATGCTGTGACTTTTTCCTGCTGCTTTCTATCAACCTTAATTGTGAAAAATGGTGCCTTGTTGCCCTTTTGATATTATTTTGGAGATTGACTCAGTCTTAAAGTATCCAGATGCGTACAGTTGTACAAATATCTGTGGAATTAGCTCACTGAGGTCTGGTCCGCAATATTTTTAATTGACTTACATGTTCTGTGGGAAAAGAAGAATCATAAAAAGTCTTTGCTGTAGCATTCCATTCTTCACTAGGGTCTCCCTGGGGGTCTCGGTGGATACTAGAGGTATTCAAAGTGTCGGCAGCTCTGTTAAAACTGGTAGAACCTGATTGACAAAAAGGAAATGGTAACAACTGCAATTTAGTCTCTAGGCACTAATTGTAACATAACTAAACTTCTGGTTTACCTCTGATCTTAAAAAATCAAATATTTTTGTTTTAAATCACTGAATTTCTGTTGTAGGCTTTTCCCTTTTCATTTTTTTTCTTTCACATACTTCTGCATCTATTTTGTCTCTAAAGATGAGGTATGTTTCTACTCTGATTAAAAATGTTTTATATCATTTTCACATATTAAGTTAATGATAAATTAAAATTGTGATTTATAGAAAATGTATGTATTCTGAATATTCTAACTGAATATATTTTTTCAAACAGTATTACTTTAAGACTCACCTTCTGATAATGATAATAAAATACGTAATTACTGCGATCCTGACATCATATTCCAGGGTGACTTGTAATAAAAAAGACATTCTAAATACAAAGGTTTTTAGACAAACAAGAACATTTTAAATAAGGAGGCTTTTTGTAAATGGCTACACCTAATATTTCAGGAAATCAGGCTACAGCTCTCTAATAAAGGTAGGAAGGGCAAATAAGTAAATAATCATAGCAGAGTATAAGGTTCCAATCCTGCAGTGGCTTTATGCGCTGCTAATAGCTCCGTTGAAACCAATATCGAGTTCCTTGCAAGATCAAGACATAAGCGTACTTTCACAATTACTCATAATGCAAACAGTAGCTGTTTTGTCACTACACAAATGCCCGCCGACCACTGCTACGATAGCAAAATCTTTGTTTTGCTATGAAAAGACATGTTACCTCATGGTTGTCTAACAGTTAATTAAGAATACTGGTATTTTCTCGGGGCACAAAGAGGGAAATTATTATGAGATTGTGTTTGTTTTATTTTTCAAGAGTTTGCCAGGAAGATCTTGTCCATTCCCAGTTCATTCCTCCATTTACTGATGTGGAGTGGCTGCTCTCTGGGAACCTGACTTGTGTAAACAGTAAATTGCACTGTGGTTAGGCAGTAAAAGGAATTCCCTCAGACAGGCTTACTAAACTCTTTCACCAATGCTCTTCACCTCTAAGTCGCCCCTATGGCTAAACTGTTTGTGATTCTGTAAGTAAAAAAAAAAAAAAAATAAAAATTTAGGGACACCATGGATTCCACTCCGGGTTTGCCATTTGGGAAAATATCTGAAAACAAAACAAACCCCAATAAATCTTGGAAGTTACAGTGCTGAGTACCACAACAACTAACTCTTGGGTGCTCTGACAGTAAGGTTCTCTAGTCTCCAAAAGAGGTGGAGGATTCAGAGAGGTCAGCAAGTTGAAGGAGGGACCTATCTGAATTAGGCAGTATGATGAGAGTGAGAGGCACATCTGGGAGCCAGAACAAGATCCTCACTGTGAAGTTTTGCTAGAATTCAAGGTCTGGCGACTGTACTGGTCACTAGAAAACTCATTTGGGCAATTAGAGTTATATTAAAATCCCTACCAACTCCTTTGGATGAACCTCTCAGAGTCACTTCTTGGAAGTACGGTACTTTGGATACAGAAAAGTTTCTGACAAGAGAAGGAGGAGGAACACGTGGGAAAACTTAAGACAGTGCTGTCTGTTCTTACAGAAAAGATACATGCAGGACATCACATATCTATGCATTAATTTTCTTGAAACAGGTATCAAAATTCACATTATTAAAAGAAGTAATGTGCCATCCGAGATCAGGATTCTGCTGCCTTGCTACCACCACTATTGTTTTAGGGACAAAGACCTTTCTGAAACTGAACTTCAAAAATTGTGCATCTGTATACAAATATACAAAGGCAAGAGACCAACTACAGAAACAAATTACCTATAAACCTAAATTCATAACACCAGAACAATATAAAGAAACCAGACTGCTGGTGTTCTGTCTCACTGCCACTGGCTGCAAAACTAAGGGACGGGGGTCCATTCTGCTCTTGGTACATTCAAGGCACAAAGCTCAAAACACCACCTCAACAAAACCTCAATTAGACACAAACACCCTGTATTATGTATGGATCTAGCTCTTTCGGAAAACATATAAGCACCCAAAGCTCCATTTTTCTACAAAAGCAGGGGCTTTCATTTCTCCCAGAGTCCAAGAGATCATCTGCTTTTAAGCTTACAGCATGCATTACGAACAGAATCCGCATGCAAGCTTTATTTTGAGAAAGGAAGGCAGCACGTATTATCTTTTACTATGTCCAGTTACTGAACTGGAGGAATATCTGTAAACAAACTGAAGTCCATTTACTGTGGAAATACAGATGATGCTTTTATTACTTCGGTAAAAGATGGAGTTTAAAAACGGCACTTTTAGTAAATAAGTATAGGGGTAATCTAGCAGCTAATTTCATTGCGAAACAAATTTAAAATACAGTTTTTCCACATTTCAGTAATGATTTAGAAACACATGGAATGAAGCTCATATTTACTGTTTTGCACATGCAAAATATTGCTCAGCAAATAATCAGCAAGTGCCAACAGGAGGAGATGGAAAAGCTCCGTGAGCACTCTTAACAGCTAGGTGTGTTTTCCAGAGCTTCAAAAAATATAAACTTCTCCTTTCACACATTCAACACATTCAGATGGCTTTAAGTGTCCATCTGAATTAAAGATGTACAATAAAATAGAAAAGTAAAGTTTCTCTAAGCCCCATTCAAAGAAGCATCTACTGGTTCAAAAACTACCCTAATTTGTATACAAAACGAGGGCACTGAATAATTTCCAAAAGCTGCTCAGTGCTTTTCAGAGATATGCGGAGCCCTGAGAGAGTGTGCTCTGCATTAGGGTTAGAAATGCCTATAAAAATTCCATTTGTCATGGCACTGGTTTTCTTTCACAAAGGGAAATATGAGGAAAAGTTTATTTAATCAGATAATTGAGCAAACAAAAGCTGTTTAGTTGCATTTATACTATAAATTAACAGAGAAATCTCATCTTTCATTTTTTTGGCCATATAACTAAAATGTCAGAAGGTTTACATTTTTCTAATGCTACACTAAACTTAGATGCAGAAATTGCACATTTTGATAATTTTTCTAAGTATATTCACTACGTGCTTCAAAACGTAAATGCTTATTTTTCTTACCTAGTCCTGTTTCTCTTCTGTCAACATTTTCACTGAGATTTTGACACTGTGTTTTTGAAATAACCTTTGTGTTTTCCACTGAGCATGGTAGTTTCTCTTTCAAAAGGGAAAGTTCCTTGGAAGCTGAAGTCCATGTAGCTTGACCTCTCATTTGATTTACTCTTGAACAAGAACTGAGGTCTAAAAAATTTAAGTATACTGGAGTTTTCTCAGCTTTTTTATCTGAGGTTGAAAGATCAAAGGATGACCTTCCACTTACGTTTACTAAATTTCCAGATGCTCTCATGGGTAAAGAGCATGATTCTTTCAGGTGACCCTCAGCAAACTTCCTTCCTGGATCTGTACTATTCAGCGAGTCTTTTTTCTCTTTTAACAATGTGTTATTTCTTGAATTATTAATCTCCAGGGAACGTCCATTTTTGATGGAGTGTATCTGAATATCATCATTAACTTTTTTACATGGAATTAGTTTATCTGTACTAATTCTATCTGCTGGGTTTTTTTTATGAACAATTATTTCAAGATCATCAGCCTTTACTGGAGATACGGCTTCAGTGTTCAAAGTACATGTATTTGTATCATTCCCCATTTGTTCAGTACTGTCTTGTTCAGGTTGCTTGCTGCACGCATCCTCCACATTTATTCCTCTTTCTGTTTTTGGGGGGCATAAATTGAAAATCCCTAAGAGAGACGTATTATCACCGTGCTTTTTTGTGGCATCATCACCGCTTGCATTATCACAATAAACAGTTGGTAGATTTTGAGCATCAGTTGCTGCAACACCAGTACTCCTCAGCGCACCATTTCTGTTTGTGTTTCTGGCATTGTCATTGTAATTTCTGTCTTCAGCATCTGTGTGTATCTGTTTAAAAGGAAGTTTATCGCTATGTAAACTACTCAGATTTAACAGGTTTTTTTCTGTTTTATGTAATCCATTACCTGCATAATTGTCACTGTCCAGCAAGCTACATTTTTGGTATTCTGTGTGAGCATTTTCTTTAGTATAAGACAGGATGCTAAAACTTAGTTCCTTAGCTTGATGATTATCTGTACTTCTTTCACACCCATCAGTCTTCTCAGTGCAAAGAACCACTTCAGACTCGGTTTTGGGTGCTTCAGGTGTAAGGATGCTTTTGTTGCGTTGTATGGTATTTGATTTTTTATCTGCCTTAGTACAAATTGATTCAGCCGTAGTATTGCACAATCCTTGCTTGCTAGAGTCAGGCTCCTGACTTGCATTTTTCTTGGAGACACCTACAGTGTCAGTACTGTCTAAAAAGACTCCTCGTGTTTCCGTGTGACATACTGTCAACGGCTCAGTGCTGTCCTGTAGCTTTTGTTCTAAATTTGCATTGTTTTCCTCCAGTAACATTCTACATGTTGCTCCTAGATTTTCTGCTTCTTTGCACTCAGTGACATATATTTCTGAGGTCTGTCCTTGAGTAATTAAATCAGTATCTGTGCAGAGGGTATTCCTGGGAGAAGCCTCCCTTTGATTTTCTTCATAAGGGCTAGCAACATTAATTTCATCCTTAAAACTGTTTTCAAGAACTTGTAAATCTGTTAGAGTAAGTGTATTCTCTAGTTAGTGATAGATAACCCAGAGGTTTACTGCTTTATTTTTACAGTTTAAAATTTCCAGAAAGATAGACTCAAGATTAGTATTGATACTGGCTTTTCTTATCTTACATTACACACACAAGTCTATCAAAAAGTTACTGAAGTATTGTATTATGGTAACTTGCAAAATATTTATAAGCTGTTCAAACAGAAAATATACTAACATTCTGTAGATTTTAGATACGGCTTATAGTTGAAATATTTCCCAACTGATAGCTGTCAGCCTTATTATTGAAAGAGGTCTTTATTATGAAATTATAACACATACTTAATCAACCATTGTGTGTCTACATAAAGTTTAAGCCACTGGTTACTACTGCAACTCTATTTGTCTTTGTTTTGAAAGTGGCATTTTTAGCTAAATGGAAAACAAACCCAAACAAAACTGTTTAAGGGACTATGTTCATACCAAAAGGAATATGCTATGACTTGATGATAGTGGGCCAGTGAGGAATAACAAGCATTTCAGTATCTGAAAGGTGTTTTCTGAAAGATACACTCAAAGGCTGTGAGCATTGATCCTTTAAAGCAGTCACTTTGCCCTTAAAAAGCTTTTAAATTTCCACTTATCTTTGCTACACTTTAGAGACCGAGCATTAGAGACTGAGTACATTTCCTTTAGGTGGCTTCAAAAAATTACTTACTGGAGTTACAGAGTGCTTTGCATAGAAAAGCGTTACAATTATCCACATGAACAGACCTTCATTGTCCTGTGCAGCGCAATCACTCTCTTTCTGCCTTTTTTAATTGTTTTATGGGACAGTCCTTGGTTTTGCTTCCAAACACTTCTATACACATCATAGTTCTTCCTAACCCCTGTTCACTACTTGAACTGGCATGCAGAGAGAGCACTGCAACAGCTTGTGGGGTTACAGCACACCGATCTTAATGTCCCAGGGCAGCCACTAGAAGTACTGTCCTTTCATTCAGAGCTTTGTGAATTTATCATAGATTGGCACTACTGACACCAAGAATTTTACTGTTGTTAGCACAAAAACATTTAATTCAGGATTCAAGCATTCTCTTGTCATATACTGTATCTGTAAACATTTATCCTTTCTTCAACAATACTACTTATCTCTATTATCCATGTAATGTTATTACTTTGTTCTATCTGTAATTCCTCAATGCTTAAAGAGTAGTCCATTTTGTTCTTTACTTCAGTTTCTTCATCATGTCCAAAATTACAGGCTTTTCTTACTATAGACTGCATACACTCATTTGCTTTCTGAATAGCCTGTACTTCACTGGCTTTTGAGTGTTCTTGACCACTCTAGCATAAGAAAGGACAAAAGATTATACACATTTTAATAATTTACTACAGTCACTGATTAGATTTAAAGTTCAGGACTTAGATTTAAAATTATTTTTACAATTCTGATGGAAACTAAAGACCATTCACCTGAAGCATACAAAGTTAAAGCAAATGGACAAAAAAAAAGCAGACTAATACCTTAGAAGAGTAGGAAAGAAATTAGGTCCTGCTATATTACAGTCCACAGAAAAAAGTTACATAGATTGACAGAACTTCTCAGAGGAAGGAATTTGTATTGTACACGTGCTGACTGGATCAGTCCCTCTGTCTACTGGCTAAATCAGTGACCTGCTCAGTAATTACATGTGGAAAAAAACCTGCATGATTGCTAATTCCACTCAAACACATGGGCATACACACACATATTAACACTACATTTTTCTAACAAACCACCTAGGGTTTTCAACTTCATTTCATAGGCAAATAAGGCTTGTGAATTTGCAATTCCTGTCAGTCAGTTCCTCATTCCCTCCCACATGGCTTTTTAACCTGAATTTGAGTCAAATTCAACAGCAGTAGAAGCCTGAAAGATGTGTCTACTTAAAGTTTAAGTCACTGGTCTACTACTGCAGCTGTATTTGGCTTTATTTTTGAAAGTTGCATTTGATAAAGTTCTGTGAAAACTGGGAGCTGAATAGTGAAGAAACACACTAACAAAACCCCACCAAAAACCAAACCGAAAAAAACCCCAAAAACCAAATAGAAAAGAAGATGCATCCTTTATCATCATCAGCTGTTTGGCAGCTGAAGGCAGGAGCATATGCGGGCTCTTGCCCTAAAGACAGGCCATAAAAGTAGGTAGATGTGGGAGGGAGCAGGGGTATTTCTTAGTCCATAAAAGATGTGAGAAAAAGCTGAAGATACTTGGATGACTGGAGGTGTTGCAAAAGGAAGGCTGGGCTGTGGGAGGGAGCTACAAGCGCTGTGCTTGGGCATCAGATGTGTGGGGAGGACAGCGTATATTGCAAAATGGAGGGAGGTGCGTAGACAACACTGGTAAAATTGGGCTTATTGCAATGGTGGCATAGTAGATTACGTAGAATACAAATCTGCAGGAAACAATTTTCTACACGTCACAGAAACATCCTGATGATCCCAGCTTTGCTGATTTGGGGGAGGGAGGAATCACGGTGAATGGAGGAGGGTCCTAAAAATAGTTTTCCTCTGCCAAATACTCCACCTTCAATTTGAAGTTTCAGTTGAAATTTCTTTCTCTTTTCCTCGTATTTTATTATCATCTTCCCTGTCATTCTGATTTGGAAATTGTAAATATTACATCTTTTTTGTTTTCCAATTTTTTAATTAGTTAATTTTGCTTCTATATACAGCCTTGGCATCACATTTTCAAGCTTTTCTTTTCAAATACAAATACGAGAAATTTCCTTTTTCTTTCATGAAAGCTGTAATTCTTTTATAAACTCTTGCTTCTAGGAGCTGTGTCTTTAGACAAAAACATCAAACACCACAATATAACTGTGCACCTTACTCTTTTGTACAGGTATAAACCAGCTACTGAAGTGGAATATACCACATTTGTTGGTATGGGCTGAACGGCTAAGTGCATCTGAAACAAACATGATGAAGTGTTCTTAGAAAGGGAGAAAGGTTACACGATTCCTTCCCAGATTTTCAGATGCGCTGAATAAACCACGTTTCCATTAACTTCAAATGGCTGTTCAGCCCTTCAAAAATAGGTCCAAGATGCATAAACTAAAATGCGTACATATCAAAACTATCAAACCTGGATTTTAATTTTTTTCCCCATGATTTAGTGAAAACTAACTAAGCAACATACATATACCTAAGATGACCTTTCTCTCAACAGAATATTTCATACTATGTAATTCAAAACCTTCTCAAAACCAGATCTCCCTGTACATGTACACACGAAAGAATCACAATAACCCATTGCTAGGTGTAGCCCTATTCTCTAATGGTACACAGCAGTATTACAAATTATATTAAGCTAAATGTGAACCGTGGTAGAGTTAAACTAAATTGCAATTTGAGTCTGTAATGAGGTCTGACATTGTACCTTTCTTTTAAAAAAGGCCTTCGTTTAATTACTATTCCACAGGTGATCAGTATGAAGAAGTTTACATACATTCTAAATTTCATGCCCCACAAATAATTGCAGGGATTTCAGATGGCACTAGGTGTAAAAATATATATATGCATATTTCCTTGCAACACCTGGAGCCATAGTCAAGATCTAAATCATAGCCAACACCTTGCCCTTTTATGTTTTACTAGACACTGACTCATTACGGATACGAGGTGAAATTCCACAAATTAGAATAATCAATATGATCTGCTGCAGCTCCAGTAATTCCCTGGCAGTGTTCCACTGGAGATTTGACTCAGCCTAACCTGCCTAGCTTTTGAAATCTTACGATCATACAACACAAAGTGGTATGGCAATTTGCCATAAGATAGTGTAAAATATATATTTAGAAGACATCTCAGACTTTTTTTTGCATTTATGAGCATATGCTTTAAGCTTATCTATTTTCAAACACATAGGGTTATCTTAGTAAGCACAAGTACTGTTTATCATGAACGACTGATTGTGTGCATTGATTCTGCATCCTAAACATAACGCATATTTCATTTTCATTCAAAGAAAGAATGATTTTTAAAAGTTACACAATTTGCATTATACCTTGTAGAATTCATACAGCTTTGGCAAGACGAGTACTCATTTCAAGTCTAACTTCCATCGCATTATTAAGCGCACATCAGCAGATATGTATGTGTATATATTCATATATGCGTGTGTATGTATGTTTGTGAGCTACAAACATACATACATGTATTGTGAAGAAATTAATTTTAAGTTCTTCCAAATTCTAAAATATTATTATGGTTTGTCATTTTACTGACAATTCATAGACTAGTTCTAAAAAAAAAAAAAACCACAACCAAAAAAACCCTCTTGTCTTTACAGTCCTAGTGTCTTCCTATTTTCCTAACACTGAAATCATAGATATGCAAAATGAATTTTCCCTTCTTTGAAGGATAAATCATTCTTTGGACATAAAAACTAATGGAAAAATGATATAATCAATACTCAACAACAGAATACACTCAATGTGCAGGCAAAGTTTTTCTTACGGCTTATGACTTCCCAGTTTTTCAATCTTATAAAAGACTGGAATATAAATTTGCAATTCAGTTTAAGTAAGGGATAACACATAGCTGCAGGGTTCCCTGCTCTTCCTTCTGCTTCAAAAGACCATCTTCATGTGCTTAACCACTTGTTGGCTTCTCGTATGTGCTCTGAATATAGAGCTGAATGTGGATTTGGTTCACCCAGCAATGCAAGCTCAATTCTGGTTCGGTCTGCACTGCATAGAAGTCTTTTATCTTTAAAAGTCTTGCATTCATTACTTGTTGAGCTTGCTATGCCTTTGATGATTATTAAAGACACTAGGTGAAATAAAGGTTGGGTTTTTTTTTTTAAACTAAAACTGAAGACCTTAGATAATCTATGTGTTGATAAAGTGAATCTTCTGATCTGTCCCATGTTACAGAGGCTGAAATTAGTTCCTCTGAGTAGAAGTGGATTTACTTCCACACTTCCAAGTAACTTATATACATATGAAGTCAATGAGTCTGCCACAGTATGAGAAACACCCATGCAAAATACGTTTGTGAAATAGGATTTAGTAAAGATAGATTATTTAAGATAACTGCTATCTATTACATATAAATGTATTAATAAGGTAACGAACATCTCAAGTTTCTATGATATAAGTGCCCCTCTGGAAGAAAGGGGAACATTCTCTGGGTACAGTAAGTTTTAATGGGATCTTGGATCACTGATTACATCAGATAAATTTTTAGGTTTAGCCATGTCAAAGGACGATCAGTGGGCATGACAGCCAGATTAGAAAAAGCGTCATATCTCTCATTCTCTAATATTTTTACAGGAAATGGGAAGTACTGCAGCTATTAGAGACGCTTACCTGCAGATTTTCCACTTGCTCAGAATGCTGATTTCCCTGAGGAGGATGATAATCTCCAAGATGTGTACAAACTCCTTTAAGGGAATTCAGCTCATTTTTAATAGTGTCTATCTCTCTTCTCATATTTTCCTCCTGTAATTATTGAGGGTACACAGAGCACACAAACACAGATCTTTACTGCATGTTCAAATATGTAAACCAGTATTTTACAGGGGTATCAACAGCTTAGCAAATTAAAGTAAATCCTTACAAGAAACATAGATGCTAAGGAATTTAATTGTACAAAGTAAGAGAATTTTGAGCCTTTTCATTCAAACAAAAATTTTAACCACATTTCCATTACAGACTATACTTTTTATTTTTTTTTTTCCTCATTTACTTCAAGTAGCAATGCATAAAAAAGTGAGATTTGTATTGGTAGCTTTCTTCCTTTTTTTGGCTCAAAGATAAACACACTAGTCAACATTCATTCTCTACCTACATTGTCAAGAAACTACAACAGCAAATAATTTGCTTGGCACTTTGCTTCTGTAAATAGCCTCAAGTATCCAATGCTTCTTCAGTGAGCATGTAACAATTACATTTGTGTATTTAGAACAAAAAGGCTGGTCAAAAGTACAAGTTGTGAAAAGAACAGAAGGGCAATTTTACAGAAATACCTTAATTTAATGTACAAATATTTCTAGAGCAGTGTATAATGTTAACACTATCCATGATGCTGCTACACTTTAAGGTATTAAGAGACCAAATTTCTAGTTAGCCATAGCAGAAACATGGAAGAAAAAAAGTTATCTTCTAAAGAAGAGTTGCAAACATTCCTAAGAAATAACCAGGGCCAATTCCTATGTCTATACAGGAAACTATGGTATAAGACTCTCCTAGGAATCAGGGAGATCAAATCTCAGGGCAGTGAGCATCAGAACAGTTCAGCTATTTTGTAGTCTCATGGTTGCAGTTGTCTCCACAGTGGCTGCACTCAAAAGAGTTAGCCTTAGACAAAAGGATTGCGAGGACAACTTTGCAGTATTTCCCCACAGCCTCCCTGAGAATCTACCTACCAAATTCAAAACCCTTCTGGCAGTAGGTGCCAATTATGGAGAAATAAAAAAGACAGACTTAAACAAATGCTGCTTAGAGTCTGGTTTCCACACACTAAACAGATCTTGTCTTACTGAAGAAGTATTCACCTTTCTTACTTGTAAACATGCATTTATTATTGCAGACAATTTTCACAGATACAATATTTTGCTAATTATTCTGGATTAAATAATTACTGAAGTATTCTTTAAAAATAATGTAGTAGTAGAAAGAATGGCAAATATTGAAGACAAATTATTGTTCAGGTGTACACAGAGGTGAATTCACTGAGAGGACATGCAGGTTACTACCTTTTATTGTCCCCTTTCACCCCACAGTCCATGTTGAATAATTCCCGTCAAATCAGGACCTCTGCTTTAACGCAAGCCTTCAGTATCTCTACCTGATTCAGTCTGAGGTTGCTTTTTTTTTCCTGGGCATATGGCCCTTCAGAATTACCGTTAGTCTGTGTCACGTCAGTCTATGTGAGTTTACAGTCATTTTTTACTATATGACAGTTTACTGGTAGTTTTTTCAGGGTACAAGAGTGCAGCCTAGAAATGCTGGTATTCTCTGAGTAAGCTGTGTAAAAAATTGCAAATTTTCTGAAAAATACATAAAATTCAATGTAAATTAAAAGCTATATCAGCTTCCATGTCTGGGTAATGGCAAGTGTGTAATTCTGGAATATTTTGAGGTGCTAAATTCAAGGTAACACCTAATACCCTGGCTCTTGCAGGAAGTGCACTGACCTTTTAGAGCACAGAAGTCAACATTTCTCCTAAATCTACCTTTTAAAAATATTCATTTCTAGAAGAGTCTGCATTACTGGAAAAGAAATTTCTTGTTTTTAATGTATTATTTCTGCAATATTTCTTGGCTTTTAGGAATTAACCGAAATGCTTGATGACTATTTCAAAAACCTTTTAATACTCTAACATTTAATTTAATAAACCTACATCTTTTTTCCAAGTTCTTAGTGCTTTCTCATGCTCATTCTGAAGATTAAGGAACTTTTCTTCATTTTCCTTTGCCTTCTCCCTTTGCAGCTCATTATCTCTTTCAAGGGTCTGCAATAAAATTAATTATCCAAAAAATAATCAATACCGCATTAATGAATTTTGATGTGTTTTATGTTGCTTGGACCTTTGCTTCTAACATGCTGGAAGTGCCATACAGATCAGTGATAATGTGCTATCTCAACAATAATTTTCATAAATTAACAGAAAGGTGCTTATAGTTTAGCTAACAGGAAACAGGGGGAGGTTATGAAAAAAGAAATGGCTATAAAAGGGTATAAAAACACTTGCCATTATTCAGTTTCACTGCATAAGTTTTAATGTGCTGAGAAAGTAATATAAAGTCCAGAGATGAGAAATATGAAATGTAGCACAATCTAGAGCCATTGTACTTAAAGAAAAAACTACTGTATACTCAAAGAAAATATTTTTATTTTTCTGATCAGTGTTTCTGTCCTAAATTGTTTCTTAACCTATCTTATAAACTGTATAAACTTTAAATTCTAAAACATATCTACTGAAACATGAAGTATACATCTGCTTAGCCTTCAATTTATTTTTATTAGATCGCTGAAACAGAATAGGAGTGCATTAAAATAACAGTAATGTTAAGTTTTATATTATCATAATAGTACTTGCAACATTTTTGGGTTAACTCTTTCAGTTTTACTGTGCTAAATTAAAGCAGTCTTGTGTAAATCAACAGTAACTTCACACACATCTCAGGTACTGTTGGAATTTTTATCCTATCACATTTTTATAGCAAACAGCGTGGAAGATAAAGGACTTACTGCATCCATTATCTACTATATAGATGACACAAATATATTTGATAATGTAAACATAACTTTAATGCATGTATCTATATGACCAGCTACATATTTATGACTCTGCTGAGCTTCTTTGAAAGTCCACTTGAAAAATGTTAAGTTATGGAGGCGATACTCCAAAGCAATTCTTTTCTACTTTTACCTAAAAATGAGTCTACTTCTTGATTCACTTAGCATCAATTTTAAAATGCCTATGTTAAATTAGCTACACTATTAATACAAATGTATTTTATAGGCATTAACACTATGAAAATTCAGACTACCTTGCATTTTTATACACATGAAAAAAGCTGTGCATAAGAATATAATGGATCTTCTGTGACAGATTATATAATGAAAAAGATGAAACAATTTAACAATACATTGTCTGAATAATCGCACTCTTATGTAGCACCTTTCATTAAGTTCTATAAACTCGGAGTCCAAGACCTCCTCTCTTTGATAAACCTGCTCTAACTCCAAGGATGCTTTTACTTGCATCTCAGATGCAACCTCCTCTGAGATGGAATATAGCAGTTATCCACAGCATAGCTCTTAGGGCAAAATATCAGGAGTTGCAGATGAATAGAGCTGATCATATGTTAAAGCCAATTGTACAGAGAGGGGAACACCTGAATTCCTTGCATTCTAAAGCATTCTGTCATCTGTTAAAGAACTTGTTTTTCTGAACTCATAAGCACATTAGTATCCTAGCATTAAGTATGCATAGATGGAATGAGACAGGACAGCATGATCCTTCTTCAATGTTACCTTGCAAGTTTAAGTATTGTCACCTCAAGCCCAAAAATAAGCAGTAATTTTTTGTGAGTATAAGAATAAAAATATTTCCATGGAACCCTACAATCACTCCTTCGATTTTTCTATTATTCTGAAGAAACTCTTTTTCTTGATGAGCAAGGTCCACAAATTTGACAGGGATGTAGGATAGGGCATAAGAACAATACATAACCTTCAGACCCCATTCATCATATTGCGGTTCTAGAATCAATAAAGATGAAAGCAATAGCTCTCAAATTGGCAGGAAAGTGGGTAGACCCTTCCAGTTATATATTCAGCTCCCTATTTTATAAGTTCCATTTGTTGCTTTAAAAAAATGACACTGCAAAATAAGCAGTTAATGTTGTCTCATTCCCTGGCATATCCCGGTAATTGTATCAAACTGTCAGCCACATGAGTAGCTATAAAAAGCAACAATATTTTATGACTACTGTTTAAACAGACAGACATTTATGACAAATCAAAATAACCCCATGAGTTCATATGGAAAGAACAAGAACATGTCGCATTCGCTTTTAATATAGCATTGTATTTACATCATGCTGTTTAAGGGAATCGCTGCATTTTAGGCATGTATTTATCGGGTTTACAAAAAAATACATCTATTAAAATATCTAGCCACTTATGTTTCCAGATGTGATCTCTTGAAAGCTTATCACTCATGTGTGCTTACATAAGTGTTATGAATCCTTTAATTCCCATTCTCAAGTGAGAATGTCTTGGTTTTGAGAATGCACAGAATGCTCTCACAAAGCTCAACTGAGATCAAATCTTAGCTGATCTTAAGTGCCACAGTGAAGACTAAGAAGGAATATTTACATCAAACTAAGTATTGAGGAGTCCTCGTATAGTCAACAGAGCTTTCAAAGGGTGAATCAAGAGCCTGTTACTAGTTATCCATGTCTTGTAACACCAATTTCATCTAAAGTACCTATGCCTGCACGAAATTACCTTTGAAGACTACACTGAAGCTTTGATGACTAGAAATACTTTGTCCTGTTAGTTCGAAAAATAGAAAACATTAATACTTTCCCAATGCCTATTATAAACAGAACCCAAATCAAAGCAGGCTTTCTAATCAGAATTAGTATAATTGCAATCAGAAATCAATTGTTGGCCTGCACAGGCTGCAAAACAGAGACTTGTACTCAATTCATACCTTAACAACAAGAAAACAAGCTATACTTTTCCTACACTTGTAGACATTTATGTGAAGTCTTCAAAGATAAGATTCACAGATACCGTTCACAGTTTTAGCTGGAGCTTTAAGGCATACTATAAACTTTATCTGAGATGGGAAACAATAGCTCAGAAATACTACCAGAATAAAGCACTTTTAGAATACACCTGTTATTCGATAATCCTGACACAAAGATCTTAAAGGGTCCCCTGTATTATGAAAGTCATCATCAGTAAGGTTATATACCAATTAAATTACCTTGAGCTTCTGGTTTAATTTACAAAGTAATTTCAATCATCTTAAAAAATAAAATGTACGTTACCTTCTTACTGTAACAAAAACCAGTATTGTATGAATAGCAAGTAATCCAGCAGGACCCAACATATAAATAACAGAGGTTACAGAAAATCATGCTACTTTAGGCAATTCTACAGCCAAGGGACTGTTAAATTAGTCTTTGTAAAAATTTCAAACAGGCTAAGAAAAACACAAACCTTTTCCCATTAAACTGTGCTTTGTCTTTTTTTTTTTTTTAAAAAGAGCCAATATACGAAAGAGGAATTGGAGAACTCTGAAGATTCATAATGAACTGGTGGGACTGTTCTCCAGGTGGAGAAGCAGCTCTTCTTGGTTCTAGAGCACTCAGAGATCAAAGAATTTTAAGTCATGAAAATCCAACACTCTAGACTAATATAAATACAGGAGCCTAGACATCTGACGTCAGTGACTTCTCTTTCTCTTCCAGTTGTTACAGCTTTATCCACTACTACAAAGCAGGTACTTTCCTAGTGAAATTTTAGCTAGTTTCTGATGGAGAACATCATAACTCATCTCTAACCTTACGTGTTTCATCAAAATACAAAATTCATGTATTTATATTGTGGCAGAAGGCAAACTGCTTACCTCTATTAAAAGACAAAATAAAGGCTTATGTGAAGTTAATCTAATTTCAATTTAGCATAGAAGCATTTACTTAGAAACACAAAAGTATACATGCACACAGCAAGTTTAATTTGAAATTAATTGAGATCCTAGTTCAAAACCTTGGCCTCACAGGCCAAGCAAAGAATAGAATAGCTGTGGTTACATATGGACAAATAGTAGATAATAATTATTAATAGTCCGATTAATGGTTGTACCTGAACTCTGCATGGCACATCTGACTGGAACAGATATGACCTTAATCTTTAGTGCACTGTGGGCCAGTCTGACTGCTAGTGTAATTTACAGTCTAAACCGTTCTGAGCCACTTTTACACGCTCAAAGAGGAACTGAGGAATGCTGCAACGCCACACTCTCCAGTGTGACTACTTACCACCTCTAGCGTAAATATGACACCAGACAACACAGCAAGAAATGGCTAAGCTCATACTCTTTCTTAGGCCCTCTGCTCTAATAAAACTGGGGACAAACTCTGGCTATGAAGATCTGAAATTTGAAGTATTTTCCAGAAAAGAAATTTATACCTACGTGAAAATTATAAGAAACAAAAGTCAAAATCATTTGGTTTCAAAATACTTGAAAGCAACCCCCAATATGTTCTGGTTTTACCCTCCAGAAATGGCTGATATGAATGGCAACCATGATTTACTTTAGGGGGAGAACGAAAAGAGGGAAACCACAGACTGTGCTTCAAGGTTCATGCTGACAGTTAAGGAGCTGAGGGAGCAATGGAAGTGAGGTCAAAAGTTCTGAAAAGCATACAGATGTCTTTAACAGTCCTGGACTTAAAAAAAAATACATAACAGAGAGTAGCAGCCTGTCTAATCAAGAAAAAGCTGACCTGATATTCTTCTTTCAGTGCATTTAATTCACTTTCCATTCTAACATTCGCTTGGGTTATTCGCTGAAGCAGCTCCTGCACACATTGTAGAGAGCTGAGAATTTCCTTATTAATACAAAAAAATTAGGATATATTGAATAAGATTTTGTTTCTGAAGCTTAAACATTAGATAATTTATGTCTTTTAGGTTAACATATTTATTTTTTATTCTGCCAGTGTTTACAAAATCATGTATATAAAAATGTACTCCAACATCAACATTGGGGAACGGCTTGTAGGAAGAAATCAGAACAACTCCAGGTTTTTCTGGCCTTTTGCCTTGGAGAAGATAACATTATTATAACTTATTATAACTTACTCTTTTTCAGAGAATTTTCTTATAATTAAAATAAACAATCTATTGATACTTTAGACATACTTCAGTGCAAATCGGAATAAAATCTATCAAATCCAACCCCACTGTGAGTTCAGTTAATCTAATAGAATAATTTTATGGTACCATATTACAGTTCTGGAAAATATGGAAAATCCCAAAGAAAATATATGACAGGCAAGTAATCACTTCCACTAATGGATCTCCCTTATGTGACATCATTCTGTATATCCTGAATTAAATCCTAATAGATGTGAACTATGACACGTTAGCTTTGCATCGTATGGTGCAAGTACATCAGATTTTGTTGTCACTATCTGAATTTTTGTGGTACTGTCATCAAAACTATATTGTTGCTTCAAGAAGAGTAAGTTCTAAAAAAAGCCACCCAAAATGAGCTGACTAAGGTGGTAGAGATTTACAAACCCATGGGTGCTGCCATTAAGTTTGTTGCAGTTATCTGAAAACATGGATGGAATGGAGACAGAGAGTCATTTTATATTAAACACTACAAAACACATTTCCAAAGATTCAAAGACAGAGGGAACGATCTAGCCAAGCCAATCTTTACTCCCTAAAGACCAGAACAGCCGTTACTAAAAGACATGCACAGCAAAAAACGCCTCAGTTTCAGGCAGAAGACAGTCTTAAGTTGCTTCAAAATATACTGAGAAGAACATATTATTAAACCAAAGTACTTTCATATACTTGCAAAGAACTTTCAAGTTTATCTATTTTTGGTTCTATTGTATACACAGATATAGCTATCTACTAAAAATAAAATAGTTATTTTGGGTACTCTCATTCCTTTTCATGCATGTATACTCTTATGCAGAGATAAATAATATTTTTGCACTGAAGCTTAATTTATCTTTAGTTCAATTTGACAACTAGAAAACTGAACGACAGAGATGTGGAATGGCTTGCCCAGTGTCATCTGACAGGTCGGTAGCAGAGCTGGCCATGTCTTTTAAATCTAGTAGAGTGTTCACTCAGCTAGACAAGATTGCTTCTCTGCATGTAGTTCAGTGTAAGTCAGCTATAATTTAGATAGTATATCCAGCCTCAGTCCAAGAACCACTGAAGCCAACATCTTCAGTTAATCCAGATGGTGAATTTGTAGCACTCTATCATACAGAAATCCAGGTCTTCTAACCCAAGCTCTTGGAGAAAACATGAAGTTCATCTCTATATCAGAGCCCTCCTCAGATTTATACCAAAACCCTGCGTATGTTAAAACCAACCAACCAACCCCTAGCAATTCACACAGAACAAAACAGAGAAACAAAATAGACTCTTTCTCTTAGATAATACATATCAAATATGCATATGAATTATGCTACAAGCATCTCCATATAAATGCTTTTAGTGCTTTCAGGGCTGTGGGAGTAATGAGGCCTGAGTAAGTCTCTCGTTTTTTCCCTGTGTTTATTGGCAAGTATTTTTAAAAAGCAAATTCAAAATGCAAACAGGCTTTTACAGATTGGAAGAGTACTGCCGGGTTAGCCTTCGGTGAGTGCTCAGTGGGTATACGAGCATGCTACTTCTTTTGTCCCTCCCTGAGAGCAAGAGTGATACACTTCTTGGACATGTTTGGTTTAACGAACTGCAGAATGAAAATCCTGCAACTGTTTAAGAAAAAAAACAACCACCACACTTTTTACACTTAATATTCTGCAAAGCAGCGTATTATGCTGTTATTACAGGGAACATATTTTTTTTGCTATGTTTGATACTTGACTCCATGTACCTTGGTTTGAATATCAGGATTTGCTCAGGAACATAACTCAGTTTGCGATGGAAGACAGTTTTAACTCTGTTCAGCTATGTATAAGTGTAGCTTAATATTCTAAATGTATATGTTCTGTATGAATGGACCACTATTTCCTTTGTATATGATTGACAAATCATTGCAATTTTACCTGGTTTCAATACCAGTAGTATTACAGTAAACTGCTGGCAACCAGAAAGCAGAAGAGCAAGCATGTTATGCAAACCTTATGGCTTATTTGTACTGAACAGATAAGTAAACAACTATTTCATGTGTACACCAAATTTCTCCCATCTGAATTCAAAGACAAAAGTTGAGACTTGGAATAAAGTGTCAAACAATATACTTTGTTTTGCTAATACACTTTCTAAAAACTGAGGAGTAAGATCCCATGTATGTTAGTATCAAAATATTTCTGAAGAGTAAACAAGTGAATTTAATTAGTTTTAACACCTTAGTATAATAATTTAAGAAACTTAAATATAAAATGCAGCACATATATTCTTAAGTGATTTTTAAATAGCAAAGTTGTATTAACAACTCACCAGCTTTTCTTCTTTAATGTGAGTGTTTTCTTCTTGAACTTTTTTACTAACTGCTGTCACCTTAAAAAAGAGCATGAAGAACAGTAAAAGGCATTTAAATTACTGTCTATTTTCTTTAGTAATATTGTATTAACATGATATCATGAATCATCATGAGGCTATTTGAAGAAACTGAATTATTTTGAAATGTCTTCTTATCCACATGGGTTTTTACTATATAATTATACTTACATTCATAGCATATTTACTTCCCTAGAAAAGGTCATTCTGGCAATAGGTTTGTTATATTGTATATGCAGCTAGTAGAAAGGAATCACTAATCTGTATACATCAGAGAGATCATTGCCATGACGTTTGCTGAATTAAGAACAGAAAATATTCACCAAAAAATTAATTTGTTTAAATTCCAAAATACCATTCTGATTTTTTGTTGCAGTTCTTGAAACTGTTTTTCCTTTGCTGCAAGATTGATGTTTTCTTCTCCCACCCTGTACTGAGATGTGACCTTGGACCTTATCAAGTCTGTAGTTACTTTCTTCAGTTCCTTAACACAGGAAACACGTATAAATAGTTCATCCAGTATAGGCATTGCAATTCAAAACAAAGACAAATCTTTTAAACTATCCTGAGTCATGCCCTACTTTTAAATAATGTATGGAAGCAACAGAATAAATTATAGGAACTGAAATTCGTAAGACTGACTTGCTAAACTTTAAACTTGTCACACGTGGCTGAAAGTTTATTTTCAGAGGTAAAATGTTATTGTGCTAATTTTACTCTGTTTGAAGTATTTATGATACTTAAGCATTTTGTTATTTTCTCTTCCAAGAAGTATATTAGAAGTGGACATTGAGTTGGTATTGGTAAAACCTCCTACACTGAGATATACAATAGGAATAAAGTACCTATTATAACTACTGTGTATGTTCCTGGGAATCAGGAGGGGAAAAAAGGAAGAACAGTGTCTATCTGGTAAAAACAGGAACTGGCTATAAATTTGGAAGATCTTTGCCTTTCCTGAAACATTAATTACTTAATCTCAGGAGAATGCTAAATTAATTTTATATTAGAGGCTTCTACAACATGATTTTCCATCTAAAATATGCCTTTGATTTTATTGCCTTTATAATCTTTTAAATATCCTGCTTTTTTTTTTTGGTATCTGTTTTCTGACCAGTTTATTCCAAGCTCCTAGTGCAGCAAATAAACAGCAAATGCTTTGATCTCATTAAATTACAACTTATAGTTCCTGGAGTCATAAATATTGTGCCCTGTTCTCCCCCACCCCTCCCATTCTGGTACAAGGTAGTCTGTTTAATATCGCTCTCTCCTTGAGCACTCTGACGTTTACTCAGACAAATAGCAGAGGTTATGAATGCTGTTCACAGATAGTATCAAGAATTCTTCATGATGCCATAGTGGTGAACCAAGCATTCAGAATGGTAATAGTTTTATCTAACAACTAAGTTTGGTCTGTTTAACTTTTCTTCACAAAACTGGAATTCCATCTTATCACAGGCCAATGGTTTAACTGTTCTGGACAAAATCATATAACAGTACAAAAGAAAAAGGGAAGATTATGTTGTAGCTGAAATTCACAAATACAAAGTTTTACAGAAAATACAAGTATGGGTACTACCTTTAAATAAATCATTTTTTTGCTAGAGGCTTTATTTCTCATGTGTTTTAGCCATAAATAAATCTAAAATGATCTAGTAAGTACCAAGTGTAACTGCAGAATCAATTATAGAACCCAAAGGCAGCGATGCTTTAGAATTGTGATATTCTGTAACCTAGTAAGGCCTTTTCCATCTTTTGCAATAACAACATATATTAGTTGTACTATCTTCGCTAGAAGGCTCTGTAATGAAATATGCAAAAGTCCCTACATTTAAGTGACAGAAGATGCAAGCAGTTTTAACTTTGTAAAAGTGAAAAGGTGCCCTGTACCAGCCTTTACAGAGAACTAGATTAATGGTATACAGAACACAGCTAACAGGTTGTGTGGTACACAAGCAGGTGCAAAAGCCTGCTATGGATCTGATACTATATATTTTGCAAAAATCAGAGTTTACTGTGTGCAGAAAAATCTTACTACTTATTTTGTCACGCAGAAAGAGCAAGTCATACTAAGTAAATCATGTCCTTGAGGTAGAAAAGATGACTGGATTTTCTTCTTTGGTGGATGTGTATAATCCATCTGGAACCAAACCCAGATCTGCTAATCCACCAAAGTTGTAGGCAGGAAAAACAAAAACAAACCAAAAACCCACACGAAAAACACAACCACCAAAACCCAACACAAAGCAAATCACCAACAATAATGGGAAAGTTTTCCATGGTGAGTGAAAGCACAAGCTATGTAGCTGAGAAAATAATATAAAATAATTTTATACATAAAATATGTATATTTTCTTGTACTCTGAAATTAAAAAAAATTCACCCCCAGAGTTTTTGCTTATTTTTCTAGTAGCTTTCTGTCATTAACAAGATAACTAGTAGTACTCCAAACGCTATAAATTAAATTGAATCTGGAAAATAATTTTATCAGTTTTTGGGGAATGCTAAGAAAGAATGATAAGGCTTTAAACCCATTCCTTTGATGTGTTGCTAGCAGCCAACGCTTAGGGACACGGTTTCAGAAACACTTCAAGCCAGTGTAAGTCAAGAGTGTCACAGAAGAAACAGTCCTGCTCCTTAAACGTATTTTCCTTTTGCCAGCTGATCTAAGCTAGAACTTACTTCCTTTTTTTGGTAAAATGTGGTTTTGATCAATATGAAATTTTCATTCTACTTTCCCTCAAGGCCACACAAATACACATGCCAGCATGAAGTGGTGATGTGGGACTGGAAAAGCAGGCAGCGCAGGCAGATGTAACCGCTTCCCAAGACAGTGCTGATACCTTACACAAATATTAAGTGTATCCAAAATTACAATTATATCTTTTTGCTCTCTTCCGAGATCAGTGCAACTCTCTTGTGATCTTTCAGGCCTTGAGCAGCATAGCTGTTTTTTAAAGGTTTGTTTCATTCTGCTGCTTTTCTTGGTCAGATTTCAATGCAAGCATTTTCATAGTTTCACTAGTTTACTTTTGTCCATTAATGTTGAATAGCATTCACTAACTTCATATTCCCATTCAGAACAAATGTGTGAGATCATCCTGGTCGGAGCCAAAGTAATGGCTGTGATAAGAGCTGACAGCCAAATTAAGATTTTAGTACTAAGGATAGTCATTCCCGCTCCAGCACTGAGGCTATAGAGGAAAGAAGTTTGAACCCACAAGTTGTCAGGGCTGTTAGAGGTCAGTCAAGTCTCCAAGGCAGATAAAACCAGCTTTAGAAGTTGTCCCAACTTGTGCTGCAGATATCATGACTTCTTTCAGCTATGTAGCAAGTGAAAACAGCCTGGTAATCCCTCTTCCAAACTCTTCTAAATATCAAAATTTTCTCATTGCCTTGTATCTCTTGTAGGTCCCTTCAGCTCTACAACAGATACATTCCCCAACAAGGGAAAACACCTGACTGCTTTAAGATCGCTTTTGCAATGGTTAGGCTAAGTACAAGGGAACCACAATGAAATGAAACTAGCTCACGGCACCTCTTGCTGGGTCCAAGCACTTCTTGTCTCTTCTCTTACAGAGTGACCCAAAAGATGAGCCCACAGCCCTTCACAAACAGAATAAGCGCCATTACAGGTATAGTTCAGATATGCGCTCTCTCACTACACAACTTTCCAGAAATATTTGATAAGCAAACTGTTGAAATAGGCAATATTGAAAAATGGGCTGTATTTTTTTACTATATTGTTCATTTTTAACTCTGTTTTCACAGAAATTCTGCTTTTTAAGGAAAAGGCAGGCCTTTATTATATACAACTTTTTTTAATAACACTATATTTACAAATAAACAAACCCCAACTTTTTTTTTTTTTTTTTTTAAAAAAAGGAATTCCCCACGAAGCCCTTTGGGAAAAC